TTAAAATGTGTAATGTGTTTAATGAGTAGGCTCCAAAATAGAAAGTTTCAATGAGTAGGCCTTTCATTAAATGAAAAATGTGTATTCCCTAAATGTCCTTATCTTCTTCTCTCAAATTAAAAAAAAAAAAAAAACGTTTGAAAAGGAGGAGCTAAATCCCCTCCTTCGCTGGGCAGTCACGAGGAAACGTTGCCTGCCAAAGTTCACCGGCGGCGCCGCCTTTCACCGCCGGAGAATGCCCCTACCGACATTGACAATCGCCGGCGTCCATGGTGATTAACAGTCCGAGCATTATTCTCTCAAATCTTGTATTTTTCCTATTGACTTAAAAAATCCAGCAAAGGTCCCAGATGCACACCCTTTTTGATTAATGTCTGTGATTGTTTGGTTTTGTTCCAGATCTCACCCATTCCTTATACACGAACTATATGCTTCTATATCTCAAGGTTATGTTAAGTTGATTGAAAAGAATCAACTGATGCTCCCTCGTTCTCTTCCCTTCTCTAGTGCTACAATATTATATGTTGCTTTAACAAATAATCCCAATTTCCACCAGGGTTTCCGTTTCTTCATCTTCTCTCAATATCACTTGCTTCCAGATTTCTTCAATTGGCGAAGGGAAAAGAAGACAATTGGGGGATTTTTTTTGATTTGGGGGTTTAGGGTTTCACCCACAAGTTAATTCATTTCTTCAATCAGTTTTGTAAATATCACAGCAATGCATAAGATGGTGATTTCGTTTTGTTGAACCTATTTTTGTTACTTTTTTTTAATTGAGGATGAAGATGCAGATGTGAATGGTGTTGTTGTTGTTGATTTTGATATTGTTGTTACTGGTTTCAATCCTTCCAGATTGAGTTGCCATTGGGATTTTTTTTTTTGGAAAAAAAAAGAGAAAACACTTGAAGGCTGATGACCTGAACTCGTGGAAGATCGAAGAACAACGAGTTTTTTGTTTTATTATCATTATCAAACTTTTGAAAATTTTTAGATTCTGATCCTGATTCACTCCTTTTTCCCCCTTTAGTTTGGTTCAATCTATTTCTCATAGTTTTTTTTTTCCTTTGAGAAACAATCGACTTTCATAGTTAAGATTGTCTACAGTGTGACTTACGGGGACGAGGGTTTGAGTTTTTTGAGTTTGAAGGAGATGGTGGGAGGGGAAAAATTCTGGGTTTGAAGGTGGGGGTGGGAGGTACGGAGAGAGAAAAGAGAAGGGATCGTTCATTTTAATTTTAATTTAAGTTAAAATATGATTTTGTGTAAAAAGTTTATACTATAATAAAAAAATTAAACGTGATTATTTTTAAAAATGTTTTAAATAAAATTCATAGGTGAAATAAACTGACCGAAAGTTATGTGCAATGTTCTGCGTTTGAGTTTTTTTTTTTTTTTTTTTTTTTTTTTTTTTTTTTTTTTTCTCTCTCTCGAAAACATCTGATTTTTTTAATTAAAAAATCTGGGCTTTGAGATCTGGTGTTAAATTTTTTGCATCTTCAAAAATTTGTTTGGAAAGGAAGAGGGGAGAGAGATTTTTTAATTATCTATAATATTTTTTTAAATATAGTTAAAAATTTTAAATTTTAATTAATTAATGATAAGAATAACTTTAACATTTTATATATTTAAAAATGGGTTTAAGGTATTAAAAAATAATTTTTTAAAATTATTAAAAACAGAGTATCAGAAAATAATTACGTTAAAACACAAATATGAAATTTTCTCTAATAAATAAACAGAAAACATAGATAAGGAAAAATATTATAGGGTGCGTTTAAAATTGGTTCCAAAACGTTTTTATTTTCTGTACGAAAATGGAAATGAAAACGTTTTCATTTTCATTTTTGAATTATTTCTGAAAATGCGTTTGGTAGTTTTATTCAGAGATTAATTTCAGTTTTAGAAAAACTGAAACTGCGTTTGGTGGTTTCATTTTTGAAAACATGTATTAGTATTTAATATATTAAATAAATAATAATTAAATCCTAAATAAAAACACTAATAATTAATAAAATATGAAAATTACAAAGTGGATGTTTGCATCCCATTTTTTGACTCCTCATATATCAGTTATACATAAAAATCTTCAATTGCAGCCGGCCATTTCGTATTATCGTCCTTATCACACATCTAAAATAAAACTTTTATCATTAAAATAAATCACAATTTTAAAGTATATAGACGCACACACACACACACACAAACGTAGGGGCTGAATCAGCCCCTATTAGGCCTCCCAAGGGCTGAATCAGCCCACACACACACACACACACACACACACACACACACACACACACACACACACACACACACACACACACACACACACACACACACACACACACACACACACACACACACACACACACACACACACACACACACACACACACACACACACACACACACACACACACACACACACACACACACACACACACACACACACACACGTAGGGGCTGAATCAGCCCCAATGGAGGCCTCCCAGGGGCTGATACAGCCCCAATGTGAGGCCCCCAGGGGCTGATTCAGCCCCAATGGAGGCCTCCCAGGGGCTAATACAGCCCCAATGTGAGGTCCCCAGGGGCTGAAGCAGCCCCAATGGGGGCCTCCCAGGGGCTGATACAGCCCCAATGTAAGGCCCCCAGGGGCTGAATCAACCTCAATGGGAGGCTCCCAAGGGAAAAAAACACGGAAAAAAAATCACCAAATTAGATAAAAAACATATCAAAAAATTAGAAAAAATACTCAACCAAATCAAACGGAAAACATATCAACCGATTTGGTTGAGTATATCAAATAAAAAACATATCAAAAAAAGCCATAAAAAAAAACAAATCAAAGAAAATGCTCAACCAAATCAAACAGAAAACCATCAAACGTTTTTGTTTAGGGGCATACCTCGGTGAGAAAAGGGCGAGACAAGAACGGGACAGATCGGGCAAGAAGACACCGGAGGAGCTCAGGTGAGAACAGAACGGAGGAGCTCGAGTGAGAAGCAAACGGCGCAAGTCAGGCGAGAAGGAAACTGGAAAAAACGAATCAGGCAAGAAGAATGGAGGAGCTCGGCCGGGAGAAGGGCTGAAGAAACTGGGTTGAAGAAGGGCAGAAAAAATCTGAAGAAAGAAGAGAGAACGGGAGGCTGAAGAAAGAAAAGCAAAACGAAAACGAAAACGAAAAAATAAAAATAACTTATTTACGTTTTTAAAATTTCATAAAACGATAAAAATGGTTTTATTTTTATTTTATTTTTAAATTGTCGCCAAATGCGTTTTTAATTTTTTACTTCAAAAAACGTGAAAAATGAGAAACAGGGCCATAGTTTTCCCTTTTGGCCTCGTTATTTTTATTTTTCCTCTAGAAGTTAAATAGCGGATGTCTGGTAGGGTATAATACGGATTTCTTACTAATAGAGTATAAATTATATACACTAATCTAATGGTGAAGGATTATCAAACGAAAATGAAACCTCCAACACGATTCAGATGGAAAATTACAACATCAAAAAATAAATTAAATCAGACAGAAGGAGAACGCGTCTTTGGGAGGGGAGGCAGGGCTGGACGGACCACCGTCGGAAAGGGGAGCTGGGCTGCTCATTGGGTAGCTGATAATTGGTGTTGCCGTGAAGAGGTTGGTTGAGTGCTTTCTTGTACGAAAGGGAGGTTTGGGTGAGCTTTTAGAGAGGCGAAGCGCTGCGGTGTCGCCGGCGTTCCGAGAAAAGGAAGAGAGCCATGACGGTGCCAATGAAGATGACGACGACAAAGATCAGGTAGAGATTGTCAAAGAACCATGTCGAGAAATCTAGGGCTATGGGCTCCCTGAATCGAGTGGGCAAATTCAAGATATGAAATGTAAGACTACTTTAAAGGAGTCATACGGTCTTGAATAAACATTTCCCCAATCGCAAAACCCAAAATTCAAAAATCATGTATTTACTCTACAAAAATTAATAAAATCTCTTTACACAAGAAATGCGAGAAGAAATAACTGAGCAAGTCTTAAAATGTCTCGATAAGTTGTTTGTCTGTAATATTCATTTTTCTTGTTTTAATTTGAACTTTTTGAGGGTTGAGTTTGCCGACACGACAAGGTCTGAGGGGATAGATGAAAAGTCGGCTGGTTTTGTTTGGGCTTAAATGAAAGTGTTGCATATCGTTGTGTGATTAGAGCCCGCATCACAATAAGTGAAGAAGTGGACTGATTGTGTAATGTTTTCATCTCTTAATAAATTTGATATGGCTTAATTTGCTTCTTTTGCTTTAATCTCAAGGTTATAGGTTTGCAAGGGGTGTGAACAATAGAGGGCTTGATACTTTATTTATTTATTTTTCTTTCATTCTTCTAATCACATGTATCTTTCTCATAATAAGTTTAGTGTATCTATGTTCATCTAAGCCGTTCATGAGTTTTAAAGGGCTAGGATTTATTCCCTAGCGGTAGGGTCTAAGTACCATTCCTACCATAGAATTTTCCAATTAAGTGAACGTTTAGGTATCGTTCGTTTCCTAAATTTGAGTTTTTAATTTGATCTGTGATATAATATTTTTTAGAAGTTTTTTATTGTAATAGAAAAAGTTAAATGTGATATTTTTTGAAAATTTTTTACTGTAAAAATTTAAAACTGAAAACTCATATCGGTGAAATGAACGATGTCTTAATTTATGGATTCAAAATCATAATTATTTTACATGTATTTTTTATAAAAAAAAATTATAAAAAATTATAAATCATGATTCAAAATTAAAAACGAATAAAAAAAATAAACATCATTTAAATAATTCAAGGCAATTGGACAAGATTCACAAACCGAACGAGAAACATCGCGAACCAACCAGAAGCTCGCAAACCGGGATGCTTTCCACGCCAGCCTATAAAGTCCCCCAACAAACCACAGCCGTTCGTACGTTTAATCCAACGGCTTAAAATCCCCGTTACGAACCTTCTCGAATTCCTCCCAACCAAAAAGCCAATATATATTCCTACTTCTCTTCTTTGCCTTCCTCAACAATTCCAAACACCGTTTCTTTGTTAACCTAGCAATTCAATTCGATTCAATTCCATTTAGCTTTCGATTCAATTCTATTTAGCTTTCGATTCGTAGGTTTTTGATCGAAGGCGCTTTTGAGGATCGTCAATGGCCGGAAAAGGAGAAGGACCGGCGATCGGAATCGATCTTGGAACGACGTACTCGTGCGTCGGAGTGTGGCAACACGACCGTGTCGAGATCATCGCCAACGACCAGGGGAACCGCACGACGCCGTCGTATGTCGCCTTCACCGACAGCGAGAGGCTCATCGGCGACGCCGCCAAGAATCAGGTCGCCATGAACCCGACCAACACCGTCTTCGGTAAGCTACTGGCTCTTTTCTCAACTTTGAATTTTGAATTTCTAAGTACTGTGCTCAGATCTAAGGTTTTTGGGGTTTTGGTTATGTTTGTTTTAGTTTTATGTTTTTTACTCATAATTTTAGATTGTCGTCTAGATTGACTACGATTGACTTTTATTATGAATTGATAAAAGGTGAATTTGCTCATTGTTTAGAAATATAATCTTTTGTAAGGACTTTGAAATTTGATGTACGAGTTTTACTTTAGCGTATTGGTTATAATGAATATCGAAATCTGATGATCTATTTATTGATAGTTATTTGTACTTGTTACTTTAGTTTGTATAATTTAATTTTTGATAATTGTCTGAGCATGACTGTTGTTCGTATTATTTACGGAAGTTGTAGATTAAACTGCTTAATTTGAAAATTATTCCTAAGTTTCTTAATTTGGCATTTGGAACTTCCCTAGAATGTAATTATTTTATTGTATTTTTTATAATTTCAAAATTTCAAAGTCTAAGAAAAAGATTTATAAGGAATAGAGGATGAATTGAAGGTACTGAAGCCAAATTTGAGCTTAAATGCAATCCCCACTGAATCTGTCTGACTTTATTGTCAAGTGCTCTTACCGGATAATTGCGTTAGGCATATTTTGTGTTAGCTTGGTCTACGTATGTAATTATTTCTGTTTTTACTTTATACACTTTTTTCTTAACTGGATATTGTTGTATTGCAGATGCCAAGCGTTTGATTGGACGGAGATTTTCTGACCCATCTGTTCAGAGTGACATTAAGCTCTGGCCATTCAAGGTGATTGCGGGTCCTGGTGACAAACCCATGATTGTTGTGAACTACAAGGGCGAAGAGAAGCAGTTTGCTGCCGAGGAAATCTCTTCCATGGTCCTCATAAAGATGCGTGAGATTGCTGAAGCTTACCTTGGCTCCACCATCAAGAACGCTGTCGTTACTGTCCCTGCCTACTTCAATGACTCTCAGCGTCAGGCTACCAAGGATGCTGGTGTCATTGCTGGCCTCAATGTGATGCGTATTATCAATGAGCCCACAGCGGCCGCCATTGCTTATGGTCTTGACAAGAAGGCCACCAGCGTTGGTGAGAAGAACGTGTTGATCTTTGATCTTGGTGGCGGTACTTTTGATGTGTCTCTTCTTACCATTGAAGAGGGTATCTTCGAGGTCAAGGCCACCGCTGGTGACACTCACCTTGGAGGAGAAGATTTTGACAACAGGATGGTGAACCACTTTGTTCAGGAGTTCAAGAGGAAGCACAAAAAGGACATTAGCGGCAACCCCAGAGCCCTTAGGAGGCTGAGGACAGCTTGTGAGAGGGCAAAGAGGACTCTTTCGTCCACTGCCCAAACCACCATTGAAATTGATTCACTCTACGAGGGTATTGATTTCTACACGACCATTACTCGTGCCAGATTCGAGGAGCTCAACATGGACCTTTTCAGGAAGTGTATGGAGCCTGTTGAGAAGTGTTTGAGGGATGCTAAGATGGACAAGAGCAGCGTTGATGATGTTGTCCTTGTCGGTGGCTCCACCAGAATTCCTAAAGTGCAACAACTATTGCAGGACTTCTTCAATGGAAAGGAGCTTTGCAAGAGCATTAACCCAGATGAGGCCGTTGCTTATGGTGCTGCAGTTCAAGCTGCTATCTTGAGTGGTGAAGGAAACGAGAAGGTTCAGGACTTGTTGCTCTTGGATGTGAGCCCTTTGTCTCAAGGTTTGGAAACTGCTGGTGGTGTTATGACTGTCTTGATCCCCAGGAACACCACAATCCCCACCAAGAAAGAGCAAGTCTTCTCTACTTACTCCGACAACCAACCGGGTGTGTTGATCCAGGTCTACGAGGGAGAGAGAGCCAGAACCCGGGACAACAACTTGCTCGGAAAATTCGAGCTCTCCGGCATTCCTCCAGCTCCAAGAGGTGTTCCCCAAATCACCGTCTGCTTTGACATCGACGCGAACGGTATCCTAAACGTCTCTGCAGAGGACAAGACAACAGGGCAAAAGAACAAGATCACCATCACCAACGACAAGGGAAGACTGTCCAAGGAAGAGATTGAGAAGATGGTTCAGGAGGCAGAGAAGTACAAGGCAGAGGACGAGGAGCACAAGAAGAAGGTGGATGCGAAGAATGCTTTGGAGAACTACGCCTACAACATGAGGAACACTGTCAAGGACGAGAAGATCAGCTCAAAGCTGTCCCCCTCAGACAAGAAGAAGATTGAGGACGCCATTGATGGGGCAATCCAATGGTTGGACGGCAACCAGCTGGCGGAGGCTGATGAGTTTGAAGACAAGATGAAGGAGCTGGAGAGCATCTGCAACCCCATCATCGCCAAGATGTACCAGGGAGCTGGTGGGCCAGATGTGGGCGGTGCCGGCATGGACGAGGACGATGTCCCTCCGGCGGGTGGCAGTGGTGCTGGTCCAAAGATCGAGGAAGTTGATTAAGAAGCCAGTCAAGCCACTGGTTGCAAGCTTTGTGTGGTCCTGGCTTTCATGTTATTTTTTGTGGTTTGATGTTTTTCCTTTACCGCTTTTTGTTCTGCACTTGCTAGTAAACTCTCGGAAATATATGTATTTCTCCTATATAGGTTGAATGGGATGCTTTTCCTTTCTCTTTTTTTTTTTTTTTTTCATCACTGGTTGAAACGGAATATGTAAGTTCTTTCCTGATCTAGAGTGTCTTCAATCTCTATGCCTAATTCGAACTTTTTATCCTCAAGAGGAAATGCCCGAGGAATTCGAAAAACAAAAAAGTAGTTTCTTCTTGAGAGTAGTGAACTTGTGATCTATTTGATTAGATGAGATTGTTTGGATTGAAGGTGACTCTGCATGATCCAAACACTGAGCAATGTCTCTTCTCTCATGTTTTGTACTAAAAGGAAAAAAAGAGAAATAGAACGCACCTGGTATGAAAGGAACATAAATATTGGGTGGGTTTTAAAATAATTTTGTTTTTAATAAAAAATAAAAATAAAAATATTTTGAGAATCATTTTAGAATTGACTTTAAAATTGTATTTAATTAATTTAAAAAAAAAATTATTTTGAGTATAATAAAATAATAAATTGTGTTTATTAATTAATATATTATAATATTATTAATAAGTATTAAAAAATATAAATAACTTTTAATTGTTTTTTAATTTTTTTATAAAAATTATTCTCACTATTTTTATTTTTATTTTTGTTTTTAAAATATTTACTAAATAAATATCATTTTATTTTTATTTTTACTTTTTACTTTTTAAAATACGTAAAAACACGCACATTATGTCGACCATCGGTAAAGAAATAAGTTGAAATGTTGTTTTTTAGTGTGGACATGATTGGGGGTGTAAAAATGTGCTCTTTTAACCGATTGATGAGGCCAATTGAAATCCAAACGTCGTTTCATAGATTTTAATGGGTTCAATATAAACACAAAATTTAAACCATTGCAATTCACTAGATTCCGTGTACTCATTTATTTAATCAAGATGTCAAAGGCCACAAACAAATACAAACACAGTTACACAGAGGCTTTGAGATAATGTCCACATAGGGTTGGAGATATGTCCTGCACTTACGAGCATGAACAGATCATAAAACTTACCGAGCCTTTTGTTTGTGGGAGTTTATACGGCGGAATCCTTTAAAAAAAAAACCTACTAATAGATCACTCTATTTTAACCATTGAATTAAAATTTTAACGATCAGATTTACACAAATTCGTATTAAAAATTTAAAGCGCGTTGTACAGAACTGTTTTCTTTATAAATCTGACCATTATAAAAATAATCTAACTGTCAAAATATGATGTTTCACTGATGAAATTTTTAGTAAAAAATAATTTTTAAAAATCAGTGTTTAGTTTAGATTGTTCTGGTTCAAAATTTGAATCATGATTTGATGTTTTAAACCCTAACCACCTCAAAAAATAAAACCACATCCCTCTTAGTTTTAGATGGTCTAAACTCGTGATTTTAATTCCGATTCTAGAATCATAATTTAGACCCTAAATTCAAATCATGAATTATAATTGTGATTTTAAAACTAAAATCACATTGATTTGAACGAAACGCATCTTATTTTATTTCATTTTTTATGGAAAAGGCTTTACTAGCGTTGGAGCTCTAAAAAAGCAAATAAATAAATAAATAAAGAACTTGGTGGTGAAATTAGACATCATGGTTATGTCGTCATCTGTTTTTCGATGGACTTCAATAATCAGATACTCGTACACCAAAGAGGCAGATCATAACGATTGGCTATGATGACGACTAGTAGGCTTCAACTCGTAGTAGATCCGTTAACAATTATCTGGGAAGACAGCGACATTATTTTTTACTGTTGCTGATGCAAAAGCACATCTCATCCACCAGCCTAGCTAACAACTTGCGGATAAATATTTGTTACATCAAAGAGGACAAAGGTAATGCAAAGTATATAAGTCATATTGGTTTTATACCCTTCACAGTTCACATAATAATGATTTAAGGTGAGCAACAATGAGAATGAAAAATTTATGCCTACGCTACTCGGAGGACAAAAGAAATGCGCCAGGATTGTTGGTGCAATTTTAAACCAAATAAAAAAGAAATGGTCAATAAAGCATACATTAATAAACAGTCGCACCTAAGTATTCTCTAAGAAAACTTAAAGAAAACATGAATGTGGGGTGGGACACGCTATAAAAGATTATGGAAAAAAAAAAAAAATCAGATGACTTGTGAATTTCCATGACCGAACAAAGTGAGAAACAATGACACCAAAAACTGCCACAATAATCTCGCCCGCATTGACCCTCATGACAACATGTTATGCTCGTTCATTCCAAGGGGAGGGACGAAGCATACGCGGACCTCATGTTCTTCCGGTCCTTTACGGTGTTTGGGTATAATAATCTCAAGCACAGTTCCGGTTTCATCACAATACGCTTCCAATTTACCATCTTCTGGAATACGGGTAGGGAGGGCAATTTCCCTAATGAACTCCCCAGGGGGGCAATGCTCCGGTGTTGGATCTGTTAGCTTAAATGTCCTATCATGTCTCTTAATGAATGGTTGACAAGCTGTACTCACACAAGCGATCTTAACAATTCCATGGGAGGGTGTATTCTTCCAAGTAACTTTTACTCTATGAAGATCGGCAAAAGGCAGGCTAACAATGATCAAGAACCCCTCATCGTCCTCGTATATTGATTTTGCAGCAGTAACAGGGCCACAAACGTTCTTCATTACTCCACTAAACTCATTTAGCCAGGGGAGCTCAGCAGTACGAACTTTCAAATCTAAAGAATTTTCGAAATGTGGATTACTTGTTAAGCAACAATCGTCCTCATGTCGATGGGGGAAGAAGTCCTTTTTACGTTTGTTGCAGACTGGTGAAAGGTCAAACCCATCACTGCATCCATGGTCTAATGGTTGAGTTGACAAATTCAAATTAGTACCATTGAGCGATTTTTTTAAGTGAGCAATATTCTTAAGAGAAGGGGGGCGCTCAATTTCGAGTTCTGAGTGGTGTAGGTTCCTCCAAGAACCAAAATCACTTGCTTCAAGAGGGATGCAGAAATTTATATCCCTGCCTGTAAGCTCCACCCACCTCTTCTTTTCCTCCTCATCGAGACACATGAGGTTGGGCGACCGAACTACTTCGATCCCATGAACACACTGGGGGTTAGAGAGACCCCTATAATGCTTCCTTTGCATACGATGTGACCTAACAAAACCCTTTTCCGCACTAAAAGGAAATGGGCGTTCTCCCTGGCGAGAATGTCCGTTCATGAAACTCCTTAGTTGCATCTTGCCGAGTGCATTTTCGGGCCTTTCCTTGAAAACCCACATGTACATGTTCTCCATATCATGTTGAACAAGAAAAGCGTCTAGCTGCAGATCTGATTTTTCATAGCCAGACAGGCCATTATTGTCCCTGACAATCTTGCTCTTAGATTTCTCATTCAAAACAGGTTTGAAATAGAAACTAAAGAAAAACCAGGCACCCCAAACGCTATCCAGTCGCTTTGTGCACTTTTTTGCAACTTTCGGCAAATTGATCGTTGTCTCCGCCTCATAGATTTGCGACCCGAGGTTCACATCTAGAAGAACATCACAGGGATCATTCCAACTTTGGGGAGGTGGGCTTGGCTCAGATGATAAAGGGAGATTGATATCAGGAGGACGCGGAAGGATGAACGACTTGCCTATCTCTCTTTCGAATTCCTCATGCGCCAATGAACTCGAATCCATGGACAGGAGTGTAGACAAGTGACAATTCTCCATGGACAAGGTTGTGAGGAGAGCTTCCCCCATAACTTCGTTCAAAGCTTTCCCCTTTCTCTTGCTTCTCAGGCTCTATATTTCAAGGTGGAAACTTTTCAAAAGAATTACCCTACAGTCATTCTTGAGGAACCAAATCCAATCACTAACTACAGATTTAATACTCAATCCAAATAGTAAAAGCACCTCACAAGTATCCGGGTCACTAAAATCCACAAATTACACCTACCAATTAATTGCAGGCCCATCAACCAATTCACAGTACACTGAACCACGCCAACATTTTTCCCTGAAAATGCAAAAAAAAAAAAAAAAGGGATCATTTCCAACTCAATCAGAACTGTACCATGCAGAAAAATAGCACCATATCTATGAAACATGAACATTCTAGAAAAATCTAACCCACCTTGAATTGCTGAGGAAACTTTTAAGGATTTTGAGTGTAAAACATGAATATTTGATTTACTAATGATGAAAGACATCATCTTTCGGCTTATATTTTTCCATTTTATTAAATTATTTTTTATTTTCCCTCTTTGAATCCCAAAATCAATTGAATAGTCCGATACTCCTATTAGATCAATATCTCATCAAAATTTTCCAATTCCTTCATTTCCCAAGCAACAAACAAAGCGAAAAAAGATTAAAAATTACTAACCCCAATCCGAGAAACTCTAATCAGGAGAAAAAACGGATAAACAAAAAAAAAACCCTAATCATAACAGAGAGGAAAAATATGAAGAAAACACGAAAAAAAGAGTAAATATAGCAGAGAAATAAGAAATTTCACCTGTGATTGATAGGTTTTTTGGGATCCGAGGGCTAGAGAGACATGAGAAATCGATCCTCAATTTGAGGGAGGAAGAAGACGGAGACCGAGAGAGAAGAAGAGAACAGAGAGAGAAAGGGAAGAAAGAGAGAGACCTGCACCAGTTAACATCGCCGTTTGAGGGAGAGCTAACGCCGTTAGTTAACGGTGCCAGTGAATTATTGTCTCTCTGTCTGCCTGAGGAGAGTCAAAGGAGGCGTCTCCTTGTTGGACCAGTGTGAACGGGTTGACCCGGGAAACGGGCCCAAGGATGATAGGCCGAAGATATTGGAGAACGTAAAATCGTGGCCGTTGAATCTGTGTGAAGTTACTATTGGGATTGTGCCACGTTGATTAATATATATTTTTTGTCAATTTTTGTTTCTAGTTTTTTTAATGCATGAATTTACGTAATGGTAGGTTGAGAGTTTGATTTGACGTGAATGTTTAACAGAATTCTTTGTAATATATGACTTGTAAATTCAGCAAAGGAACAGAAAATTTTATTTAAACAATTATTATTATTATTATATTTATTATTATTATTGTTATTATTATTATTGTTATTATTATTATTGTTATTATTATTGTTATGTATACGATATTATAATAAAAAAATGTGTATGCCGATTCAACGTTTTCCTTTTAATTTTTGTATTTATATATAATTTGATGCATATAAAGTACGCCCATAACTAAGAATTTTTCATTGGCTATTTAATTGACCATAGTATAGATGATGTTACATTTAGTGTTGTAACTTTGAGCCGGTGGGCTGGCCCGAGGCCCGAATTTTTCAGACTTGGTGGGCAGGCCCAAATGTCGGCCCGTCCAACTTAATTTTTTGGGCTTGGGTAGCCTGAAAATGGACAAGTCGCTGGAGTCTACCACCGTCAACTGCCGTCCGCCAAAATTTTTTTGAATTTTTCCGGTCAGGCTCAATTTTCCCGGACTATCCAAAGCCCGAAACCCGACCAACGGATAAATTTTTGAGCGTTGGAGCCCGAACAGCCCGACCCCAACGGCTAGTTTTTTGACCGTTGCTTGATTTTCTGCTTGAACCCGCCGAACTCGACCCACTGAAAACAAAACTAGCCTTTGGATCCGAATTTGGGGAAAAAATCAATATTTTAACCAAAAAATTTTCCTATAAATACCCTTATCCCCCACACATTTTGTTCACTCAAACTCTCTCAATCCCTCTCAATTTCTCTTAATTTCTCTCAATATTTCTCAATCTCTCTCAATATCTCTCATCTCTCTCACAATTTTTCTAAAAACTATCGCATTATCCTAAAGCTCTCTCTCTCAAATCGCTCTTTTTTTATGATGGATTCTTTTGGTTATAGTGGTATTCCCGTTGATGCCCAACACAACGTGGAAGAAAGACAATTTCCCACTAATGAATTTGTTACGTAGGAATCTATTAATCTGAACCCTGGTGGATGTACTGGAGGTCGTGGTCGCAATGGTGGTGGGCGTGGAGAAGCGGCGAGTGCAAGTGCGACTGCGTCTGTAAGTGTTAAAACCTCCAGGAGGAAATGCAAGCACACCTCGACAGTTTGGGATCATTTCGACACAATTGAAGAGATCAATAATGAAGGTAACACTAAACATATAGCTCAGTGTAAAATTATTTATCTAAATTACAAGGTGACACTATTCACGGCGCCACACACTTGAGAAGACACTCCGAAAAGTGTCTTCAAAAGCTTAGCCAGTTCGACGGATCCGAACTCTGCCAAACACAATTATCTTTTGATCGCGTAACCGGTGGTCTAACCACTTGGAAATACGATCCACAAGTAGATCGTATGGAAGTTGCGCGAATGGTAGTTGCATTAGATCAACCACTTAGTTTTGTAGAGCATCCTAATGCACAGTTCACTTCAAAAACTACTCTTAGAAAAGATTTATTAAAATTATTTAAAAAAGAAAAAGAAGCATTAATAAATATTTTACACTCGACTAGCGGATGCATTGTGTTAACGACATATATTTGGTATGCCGTTGTTAATAAAGATTATTTAGCTGTAACCGGACATTACTTTAAATGATTCAATTTAGATAAGAGAATATTATGTTTTAAATGTGTTTTAGGATCACATAGCGCGGATTTAATATATAATACAATTTTAAATGTAATTGATGAATTTAGATTAAGAGATAAAATAATGGCTATAACATTAGATAATGCTAGTACCAATACTTAAGCAATTGAGTTCAAAATTTAAGTTTATTCGGTGACGGTACTATTTTTCACTAACGTTGTGCATGCCACGTAATTAATTGAATAGTTAAATCTGGTTTAAAAGAAATGAGTACTCACATTAAAAGAATTAGAGATAGTCTTGCATTAATTCAAGGTAGTAACCAAAGACAAGAATATTATTTTAGGTTCTTACAAGCATTAAATATACCTCTTAGAGCATTAACGTTAGATATGCCTGTAAGATGGAACTTAACTTATATAATGTTTCAACAATGCATCGCCCATAAGGATGCTATAACAAACTATATGTGTGTAAAATTAGGAGTATGACATATAGACGCATATAATTGACAAATTGCTGAAATTTTGTATCAATTTTTAGGTAGGTTTCATGAAGTTACTTTAAAACTTAGTGGAATATATTATCCAACATCACCTTTAGCTTTAGGTGAACTTTTAAGAATTAGTATTTTATTTAGTGAATATGGGGCGAACCCAATCTTAGGAGTTCCTATCCATTCTATGGAAAAGAAATTTAAAAAATATTGGTCTAAGTTGCATTTGTTGTATAGTTTAGGTACTATTTTTAATCGTAGATTAAAATTAGACAGTTTAGAAAACTTAGGTGAATTTTTAGACATCAATTGTTCGGACCAATTTCTAACAATAAAGGAAAAAATATTTTTGATCTATAGTAAATATGAGAATAAATTTAGAAGCACAAACTCTGGAGTACAAGAACTGCAACAACAAGATGAAAACCCGCATTCATTCTTGAATGTTTTTAGGTTGAAGAAGAAGAAAAAGAAGACAACTCAAACAGAAGCTGGGAGTGGATCTTTATCAACAGGTGGCAGCGACGGCTTCAACGAGCTTATAGTGTACCTCAGTGATAGCTTAGTAGTCGACGGTACTAGAGAATCGTTTGACTTTAGTTTAATAGTGGAGGGCATGAGCATTAACTTAGCCAATCCTAACTTAATTGGCAATGGATATATTTTCGATCCCAGTCTCCACTGTTTCGTCCGAACAAGCCTTCAGTATGATAGGACGAATACTTGAGGAATGCCGAAACGCATTGCAAAGGGACATTGTTGAAGCCTTGGTCTGCATTAAGGATTGGGAACCTGCTGATCAACGTCTACAGGATACAATTTCGCCGGTAAGTCAAGAATGGATCGATGAATTTAATAGATTAACATTTAATTTTCAAGACGATCATTCAACTTCAAATTAAATTATAAATTTGTAATTTGTAAATATGTATTTACTTTTGACATTGTAATTGTTTAACTTTGTAAGTTTGTATAATTTATAATTCGTCACAAAATGATTGCACTTTTTTTCCTTACCAAGTTTTTATCCCAATTGAGTTTTTCTTGGTAAGGTTTTTAATGAGACAATTATGAATTACGAATTTAAAAATTTACAAAATTAATTTATTAAAGTGTGTTAATAATGTGTGTTGAATGTTGATTTTAATTTTTATATAATTTTAACACAAAAGAACTTAATAATTATAAAAATTAAAAAATATAAAAAAAAAAATTTCGGGCATTTCAGGCGGGCTCGGGCTGCCCAGCTAAGCTCGGGCAGCCAAATACATGCCCACGGCTCGTCCACAGGCCTTCTCAGGCTCGGGCGGGAGGCCTAAAAATTTCAAGCGGGTCGGGTCGGGCATCGGACAAAAATTTGATATTTTCGAGCTGTTGCGGGCGGCCTATCTAAAGTTCCAACACTAGTTACATTATTCTTTACATTATAATAAAATTAGCTTAATTATAATAACAAATTAGGACCTAGATCAATACACTACGTGAATCAGTGGCGGAACCAGATTTTTTCTTCAAGGGCATAAATCAAACAAAAATTTTGAAGTAAAATATGATAAAATAGCCTCTTTAGCTTATTTTCTATTTGTGAATTTATATAACGAGTATTTTCATAAATGGCTTCCGAAGTATGTACAATGTTTCAAAATGCCCTTTAATTTTTTAAAATAGTTCAAAACACCTTTCGATAAATAGAAAATAGTTCAAAACACCCTCTCCGTCCAATTCCGTCTATAAACTTAACATAACAGATTTGCTAACGTGGCACCATATTAAAATATTAAACTTAATTAAGGTGACAAAAAATGAATTAATCCCTAAACAAATGAGTTAATTACAAAAATTTTTTAAAATTATTTTCTAGATAACGTTTTAGAATATTTAACAACAAAAGAAAAAAAGAAAATGGTAAATTATAGAGATGGTCCCAAAATTATTTAGTAAGTGATAGTTTGATCCTTAATTTTTTTTTTTTTTACAAAACGACCTTTAACCTTTTTAAAAGGTGACAGTTTTATTTTTTCTGTCAAATTCTATTAAATTTTTAACAAAATATATTACATAACCCATAACCCATTACGTGACTCTTTTTTCTAGTAAAATGACTTAAATGCTCCCATTAGAAAAGCATTCTTTTTTTAGAGGCTTTTGTAAAAATAACTCTTTTGAAAAGTTTTATTAGTAAAATAATTTTTTAAAAATTTTTATTTGTAAAATGATTTCTTTTTACAAAGAAGGAGTAAGTGTCTTTTTTTATAAAAAAATAAAGAAAAAAGTCATTTTACTAATTTCACTTTGTTGGATAATCATTCTAGCATATTGTTCCTTTTTTTCTTCTTCTTTTTTCCTCAAAGCTTCGGTCCCAGTTTCTGAGCTCTGTTCTTGCCAGCATTCGAAAATGGAGATTTCCGCCAACAATTGTCCGAGGATGAGATTGGACCATTTGAGAAAAGACGGATCACATGAGCGAGCGTTCGAATTGGAGCCGTACGATCAAACCAACGGCTCTGAATTAGAACAAGATCACTGAGAAGAAATACTCAAGAAA